ACTATGTTGTTGATGGAAGATTTGCACTGTAAATGAGAGATGCTTCAAAATGAAGCCTAAACTAGGGCTAACCAGGAAATACTATTGTATGAGAGAAATATCTCTATTGAGGGTTTGGAGACTTTGAACATAACCCTACAAAAAAAATGTAGAGGAGTTGGAAACCCAATTGAAGAAGTCTATTGAAAGAAATATTGTCTTGCAATAATGCTTGGATGCTGCAACTGCTCGTTTTAAGAAGATAAAAGAGGAAAAGAATAAATTACAAGGTGAGCATGTGGTGATCACTACTCATGCTACCAAGTAGAGGTGGAAAGAGACTAGAACTTAGCTTAGGCACAGTAGTTAGAGAAAAAGTTGGCCTAGTTGAAGGTATAATTAAAAGAGAACGTGCTAAGTAAAAAAGGTTGGCAGAGTAAAAGAATGAGTGGACAAGTGTCTACTTGGCTAGTAGCAAGCAATACAAGCTGTTGGTCATGTACCAAGTGTAGCTGTAGTTGGGCCTTCTAGACTTGAGAAGGCTAGACTTCTTAGATATGAATATGCCACCAAAGGGTTTCAATGTAAAGTATCCAGAGGACTTGGCTCAACTGAAAGGGGTGTCTAAATCGATTGGCATGATCTTAGTGGCTTTTAACATGAATCCTTGCTCGTTACTATTGAAAACCCTCTAGCTTGTAGTTTTATGGCTAAGTCTATTTCAATTGGTTATAAAGCTGATGCCATTCATTCTATTATTGATATAGTTGATTTCTTTGTAGCTTTGACCGATGCTATTTCAACTCTTACAACCAATGTTGATCCAGCACTTGTAATTTCTTGAAGCCTTTTGTAAATATATTTTGTATTTTTTATTGTATGTAATTTGAAACCCTTAGCAACTTGCCAACCTTTTTTTTTTTAGCTTTCTGCCTCTTAAGGGTGAAAAATATTTTCTTTTACAGAATTGGTTTCATGTATACAATTTGTGGACCATTATTAATGGATCAATTCTAAGCATATCTTGTAGGGTCTATGCAAAAAGGTCAACATTATCTCTTAATAGTTGTACCAATTTTTTTTTTTAGTCAAGCTTGGCTTCTATTGGCATTCAATTATCTTTATTGATTTTAAAAAAATGACATAAGTATAAGGTCTTCTGTTGGTTTTGGTCGATTGATATTGGTTTTAGGCCTTTGATCAATGATTTTTTTTAGTGCACTTAAGTCATGACTGTTTCCTACAAAAAGAACAAACCCCAACGTGAGAGTTGGTGTCATTAAATCGTTTATTTAGAAAAATTCATGCATTAATATGAGAGTTTTAGTTGAACAGTTTAATGAATGTCATCATTCATATATTCAAAGAACTGACTTAAGGGTTTGGTTTAAATAATCTCAATGCCAGCTTAAGAGCTCTACAAAAAAAATTAATTTAAAAAATATTTACAGTTTATAAGTTTAAGAGCTCATTGGCTCTTAAGAAAGCATTTTTCATTTTTTTTTTTTTGCTTAGTTAATCTTACACTTCTTACCCTAACTATCTTTTCTTTCTTTTTCCATTGTTTTAACCTTGACCTCTATTTCATTTTTGGCTTGGGTTTCTCTAGCTTTAGCTGAGCTCCTATTCTTTCCCTTTATGGTTGTAATATAGTACTATCTCGCTTTGGACTAGTCTATTTGAACCTTTCAAACCCTATTAAGATAGAGAAATTTGATATTAATATGAGAAGTTGAGCTAGTAATTCTCATAATAGATTGGCTCGACTGTCCTAAATTCATGTTATATGCTAAAGGGACATTTACTACCATGAATTCAATAATCAAAATGATACTTTTCGATTTGGTTCCCAATGTGATTAACAGCCTGATTGTACCATTTACTCAAATATGCTATTCTTAAATTCAATTAAGGTGATAGTGAATGGCTTCAACATCTCTTTAGTAATTCTTATCTTCAGTATAGTTGAATAATAAAGGATGTCATTCGAGCTTCTACTATCAAACAAGATCTTTTTTACCACATGATTGTACATCATGGCTTGTATAACAATGCCATCATCATGCGAAAACTGAATTCCTTTCAAATATTTTAAGCTAAAAAATATCGGTTCATCCTTCCAACTTTTTTGCCTCTTGGCTTGGACTTAATAGCCATAATTATGCCCTAGTCAAACTTCTTTTTGGCCTATGCCAAGGTCCTGGTAAATATCATGTTGATGATACCTTCAGTGGGTCTATTATCTACATTATTTATTGGTTCCTTCTCAACTATTCACCTATATCCCTATTTCTAAAGTCTATTCTCTCTTGTCTTTGCTCTTATGGTCCATAATCCTATTGAGTTGACATCATCTGATCAGGTTCTTTATTTTATTTACTAGGTCGAAATAATCTTTGGTATTATGGCCATAATTTATGTGGAAAATAGATTTTTTGGTAAAATTTTTTTCTATTATTTTGCTTTAATGGCTTAGGTCACTTGAGCTCTAGGTCCCTTTCTATTTATATCAAAATCTTCTTTAAGAGGTATTTAGTACAGTGTAGTCGTTATATCTTCTACTCAAACTTCTTGCCTTAGGGTTCCTCTAGAATTTTTTTTCTCTTTGAGGATTGTTGATTTTTTTCCCTTATAGAGCCAAAGTATGGGGATATGCCTCTCTCACCTAGGTTATTTTTCATTGTAGCTTAAGCATTTATGTACTTTTCAGCAATAAAGAGCACGTTGGCTAAAGTCTTTGGTGGCTCTAGGGAGAGGGTGAGTTTGAAATAGTATTCCTTGTCGTTCAATCCATTTGTTAGGGCGGCCATTGCTATAGCTTGTTCTAGATCCTTGACTTGAAGAGCTTTAGCGTTAAAATATGAAACATACTCTTTCAAGAATCCATTTATCCCTTGGTAGATAGACATTAGGCTCAATGTAGTTTTTTTTATTCATCGATTGCTAATAAAGTGCCTTAAGAAAGAATAATCGAGCTCTTTAAAGGTGGAAATGGACTTAGGCTCCAAACTAGTATTCCACGACTGAGTTGCCCCTTTGAGCATTATGGTGAACCCTTTACACATAAGAGGTTCGTTGACTCCTTGTATCATCATACTAGTTCTATAAAACTTAAAGTGGTTAAAAGGATCAGAGGTTTCATCATAATTCTCCAAAGTTGGCATATTGAATCCCTTTGGTGGTAGAGCTCAATCAATGTCTTTAGTAAATGGAGAACTTTCTAAGAACTTTAGCTCATTATCAAAGGTGGAGGCTTTATTTTTTAATATTTTATCCATTACCTCTATTCATAATTCTCTAAAGTTGGCATTTTTTATCCTTTTAGTGGTTGAGCTTAATTAATGTCCTTAGTAAATGGAGATCTCTCCAAGAACTTTAGCTCATTATCAAAGGTGAAGGCTTTATTATTTGGCTTTTTATCCATTGCCTCCATTCAAGCTTCCAAATCTTTATTAGGTTATGGTTTCGAGGTGGCTTGTTTGGACTTTTAGGTGGTGGTGTGTGTTCATGTATTTATGGGGTAATGGCTCAGAGGTGTTTCATCTTCATCAGGTGCCAACAGGGCAGCACTGTCATCGTAGGTCGACAACTTTTGCGTTGGTAAGTTCTTCAAGGTTGTAAGGTTCAATACTTTGGAGGTTTGTGGTGGAGTCAAGTTTTGTATCACCTTTTTAAGGGATTGTAATTGTTGGGTGAGTGTTTCGAATTGCTCTATTGTTGGGGCTATTTGTGTAGGTCAGTTAAGATTTTATTGGTTGAGTTAGGTATCAATCTCAGCTACAACATTATCTCCTTCTTAAAAAATTATCTTCCTAGGTGCTATGTTAGCTTCGCTAAACTAAAGTGTTCTTACTTGGTGCACCAAAATGTTAGTGTTGAGTTGTCTTGACAAGGGTATAAACCTGAAATCACAAGATAGGAGTTTTGTTAATAGCAAAAGCTAGAAGTTTCTCCGATGTTTATGCTTTGACACTCAAGTTAGTGTTCCGACATTTAAGTTAGTGCTAAAAAAAAAAGGGTAAAAAGGAGAGAAAACTTGAAAGTAGTTATGGAAATTGAAATTTTGGTTTAGTAGTACCTGAAATGAGGTTACTTGTAACTGTATGGTGAAGGTGCTAAGTCTAGGTTAATAATGCAAATTCCAACTATAGACTTTTTATTTGCAACTAATAATGTAAAACTAGCTTGATACTTGATAGATCATGATAGTATCATAGAAAATGTTAAATTGACATTATCTTACTTATGCTAAATATTGATTTTCAGTGACCTTATATTTAAGTTAAATTTATTTATTTATTGTCAATTACTTTTAAACTGAATGCTTAATATGGTAGTAGAATTCATATTCTGATATGTTATTCATGCATATACTCTTGTTTCTTATATTTTTCTAAGTTTTCCATGTGATAGTTTTTTTTTTTTTTTTTACCTACATGTGATAGAGATATGTTGAAGTAATAATATCTCACATCTATTAAATTTTGAGTTTTATGTGATTTTATATTTAAATAAGACCTTTCCATTTATTATTAATTAATTTTAAATTAAATACTTATCCCAATAAAAAGTTGAAACATTCACGGCACCACACACATGAATCCAATAGAATGCTACCTTTCGGAAATCTTAATCAGAATTAAATATTTACATTGTCGATATCATTCGTAAAAATGAAATATAGCCCATATTGTAGAAAGCAAAATTCGTCAGAATTCTGACCTCTTCCAAGATAAGAAAACTCAAAGCTTATTTTCCACACCTTTCTTTCTGGAATAATAAAAATTTGATGTATGCTTACAAACAAGTCTTCACATGATGTTACATGAACAGTGATCATTAGCAACTTGTATAATTTTTTACCTTCGAAAACCTTCTTCGATCCAATCATCTTTTCTCAAGCCTTAGCACATCCAAAATTTCGTATGATTCTTCTTACTCTCTATCATAAAAAATAAAAGTCAAAGTTGCCATCCATGCGAAAAATAATATGTTTTGGTGAACATTTTGGCAAGATACAGTCTCCACAATGGTTGTTGTAAGCAACATTAAGAGTATGTTTGGTTATACCGATTCAACCATAATAATTTAATTTGGTAACAAATGCAATACCAAACAAGATAAAGTTATTAAAAATCCAAAGTGAAGAGAGTTTATGCTCGGATATAAAATTATATATAATTAAATACCCAATCACAAATCAAACAGGACCTAAATGATAAACAATTGAAAGTATGCTCACGACTAATATAAATTTATCACATAACATATAATTAGATTATAATTCCAAATAAAGGGCAATAGAAAAATTAATATGATCCATGTTCAAGGCTCATGTCTTACGAAGTAGCACTGTAGCAGGCGTAATAGTTGTTATTAGTGTTGTTATAGTCGTCTATCACAACCATTGATGATCTGGCTGATAGACAATATTTATGACATTAAAATGTTCCAACAAATTTGTTAATTTTTTTGTTCATATATCTTATATTCATGTATATGAGAAAATTTAATCCATGAGTGTTAAATCATGCATGAGGCTTGATATAAAATTTTGACCTTTCTTCGATGTTATTTATTTCATCCCAAAGGTTAATTAGTATCCTATTTGGACAAACATTAGTTTTAGAAAGAGAAAGTTATTGTGGATCACGACTCTTGACGTTGAAGGGAAGTGATTTTGGTTTGACGTGCATGTATTTCCTGCTCAAAGAATTGATTTTAGATTTCTATCCAAATAAAAGAAATCGTTTGAATCAGAATGTTTTTCATTACATGTGGGGATTCTTTAAACCTTGCATTACAAAAATGAAGGTGACTGGCTCAATCCCATTCGAAAAATCACACTTCTCCTCATTTCCAAGATTTCTCGTAATGGAATTTTAATTAAAGCTTTTTATATATTTAAAAATTTTTGAATATAGTATTTAACGAACAAATCATAGGATTGTTGATGATTATAATTAAATTTCAAAAATTAAAATCTCTCGTTGGAGATGGCTATGATCAAATTTTTTGTATAACGAAAATTTTGACATATTTTGACTAACTGGTCGAGGTGACTAATGTTTGGTCATTAATTTCTCGTATCTCAGTGGCTAAAATTAGCTTTGCAGCTATGTACTCATATATAGATCCCTTGGAATTGCCTTCCCGAGAACTAAAATGTTCATGTACCTATCTTGAACACAAACAGTTAATCAAGTGGTGGCAAAACGTTACAAGAGAAAGCCGATGTACACAAATTAATAAATGCTAGCAGAGTAACATAGTATATAAGAAATATCAGTCTCCATGGGACACTCTAATTAGCAGTTAAAACCTTCAATTTTGTTTTAGAGATAAGTTTGAATCTTAGAAGAAATTATCTTTTTGGTTACTTATTTTTGCCAGAATTTTTTGTTTTGGTTATCTTTGGAAAGATAACGTTTGATCATCAACATTTATAAGTGCTAATGTTTGAACATTCAAATTTTAAAAAATAACGGACCCCAATATGATACTTCATTTCATCATCCTTTCATGAGATGAAACATCCTTGTTGGTTGCAATTTGCAAAATGGCGATAAAAAATTATTTTTAAATAGGCTTTTCTTGGAAAATCTTATATATATATATATATATATATGTATGTATGTATGGTGACGATTCACGACTTACACTTTGCTGAGGGAAGCCTTGAGCCTTTTGCTTTACGTCACTTGCAGTATTGTATGAGAAATAGGAAATTAAGAATCTGTTTGGGGGAAAAACAACAAAAGATTACCATTTCCCATTTCCTAGTTTCACTAACCTTGTTATTGTCTTTATACACATCACACAATTTTAATTATTTTTTACTTACTTGCATGTGTTATGGTGCCAAACGGTAAATCAATCACCATTTAAATATATGAAATCAAAATCAAATAATAAATCATACATATCAAAAAATAATGATTTAATGCGGTTAGATATTCAATATATTTGCTTATGTTCAACTAAAGGTAAAAATATTAATAAAAATAAAAATAGATATTAAATACATTTATATTTAATTAATTCTTTTAAGATTATTTAAAAAGAGGTACTAAGCATGATTATGTTTAATTATAAAATGATCAATTTGTCTTATGACATGTGTCATTTTTAAAAAATAAAAAAAGTTAAATAGAATTTCTAAGAAATTTTTTTTTTATTTTTATAAATGACATGTGACATTCTCATCATTAACATATAATAGCCACCTGTCATCCATTTCAATATTAAGTGTCATATCAATATTATTTAAGGGGTGTTAAAAAAATGAAGTAATTTGATAGATGAAAATAAAATTTAGATATTTAATTAAATTTTTTTTTAATATAACTATAACATTAAAAGAATTACAATAATTTCAGAATCAAATGGGGTATTATCCCAAAAATAAAATGAAAAATCCGTTTATACCTTCCTCATTTCCTAGTAACTTCACAGCTTAGCAACCTTGCCTCTGTCTGTATCCACTTCGTCTTAATTATAAAAATGGGAAAACGATTTAAATTATTTTGCTTAGCGTGTGGACGTGGTGCAGAAAGAGGTGCAATGCATGATCCTGTGTAGTCAATTTTTTAAAATATTTTAAAATAATTTGTAAAAAATTAAGAAAGGACATAATTTCTTTTGTAGTATTTGATTATCTAATTATAAAGGACCATTATTGTTGTACAAAAGTGCAAAGTCGGTATCATTGTTAAACAAAAGACAGAGGGTATATCGGATTGGTTTACTTAAATTTAAATATAATTAAAGAAAGACTACTGTTCATTTTCTCGCCTTTTAATGTAAAATAAAACAATAAAGGCTCCAGATTTCATCTATAAAAGCGCAAGTTATGGTTCAAGTTAATGCAAATCCAGCATTTCCCATCTTCAAAAACCTCTTAATTCAATATTCTTAATTTCTGCTTTCTGATCTTTCTCTTCCTTGACATATGGCTAACACGGTTGGGGTGCTTAGTCAAGAATGCTTTGATTTCGAAAACAAAGGCATTTCTCATTCCCATGACTCCTCCATGAATCCCATCAATTTTGTTTTACCCACTGATCATCACGATGAAGTCCCCATAGTTGACTACTCTTTGCTATTTTCTGATGATCATGATGAACAGCCCAACTCCCTGGAACACCTTGGCAAAGCATGCCAGGAATTTGGTTTCTTTTACGTATGAACATCCTATACTATTATCTTTGACCTTTTTTTTTTTTTTTACAAAATAATCAGCAAATAAAGAATTGTAAATATTAAGATTTAAATTTTAAATTTATTGGATTTTATCACTTATGTATAAATATATAAATTAGTTGAGCTAAATTTTGAGTTGAATCATTATAATTTCATAAATAGATTGGAATAGTATTAATGTATTAAATTTGACGACAAAATTTCATTTCTATAATCATGATTAACTTAAGGTTTTGAGATTACAGACTTCATGATTTAAGAGGAGGAGTTTTTGTATTCCTTATCATATATATATATATATATATATATATTCTTTATCATATATATATATATAAATTCTTTTCCAGGTAATTTATTTTGAAATATTCAGTTTTTTTGTGATCGAACATTTTTTTGCAGCTGATAAATGGTGTTGCAGAAAGTGTGGTTGAAGGAGCATTGAAGGGTATTTCCGATTTCTTTGATTTGACAACACAAGAGGAGAGGAGTCAGTTCTTGAAGAAAAATTCGATGGATAGGATAAGCTGGGGTCTAAGATCCCATGCTGGGGAAAACAGAGAGTTTCTGAAGGTAGTGGCACATCCCCAACACCACTCCCCTACCAAACCAGCCAATTTCAGGTATACACATCATGAAACCATCACTTTTGTTTATGCCTATATACTATAGTATAAATTAGAATCAAGATCATTAATCATGTATTGATTTGCATGTGCAATGTATTACAATTGGATTAAGGTGTAAATAAGCCCATGAATTATATCATTTTTTTTATAATTTGATATCTATAGAAAAATCACAATTTGATATCTTTATTTTTGTCAAGTACTTTGCACCATTAACTAACTGTATAAAGTAAATGTTGAATTGACATATATTATCCAATGAAAATACATAATGTATTATAATTTTAATAGTTGATTTCTTATCATGTCAGTATATTATTAACAAGTTGATGTTGAAAGGAAATAATATAATAAAATGAGAGTTGAGATACTAAAATTATTTTTTTTAATAAACCAAACCAAATCGTGAAAAGTAGTATAGTTTAAGGGCCAACTTGCAAATTAACCCATTACAATTTATTGATGGCAAAATTAAACATGGTGGGTTTTCTCTATATTGACAGAGATGCCATTGAAGAGTACTTCAAAAGGTTCCATGAAGTTGAACTTGGTTTAGCTAAAGCCATCTCAAAAATCTTGGGATATGAAGAAACCTACATTGAGAAGGAATTCAAGCTAGAAGCAGGCTTTGATGTGTCAGCCATGAATCTCTATCCGCCATCTTTCCAGTCCAAAGGTTCCATCGGTGTGCCTGATCATACTGACCCCGGCTTTTTTGTTTCCCTCATACAAGATGTTAATGGCGGCCTTCAAATGCTCTCTCATAATGGAAAATGGATCGGTGTTAACATACCCCGAAACGCCATTTTCATTAATTTAGGGGATCATCTTGAGGTATATTTATACCCTTCAATTGCTGATAATGAACATAGTATTAATTATTCATTTTCAGCTTCAATCGGACGTCAATCTTTTTAAAAATAACTAAGTGTTGCGTTTGGCAAATGATTTTATTATTTATTATTTATTTTTCTCAAAAAATAAATAGATGGTAAAGAGTAAAAAATAAAATTACGAATAGAAAATTAAAGACAAATAACAAAAAAAAAAAAAGCATTTACCAAGCAAAGCCTAAATTAACCAATAAAATTGGAAAAAATGAATTTATGTTACATCAAATTAATTTTAAAAAAGAATTTGCTTTATAAAAAAGATTACAATCCAAATATAGAAGGATGATATATATGTATATATATTTTCCGAGTATTTGGCTTGATAATTAATGCATGAATTTCTGTTGAAAAAGCAAATTTGGAATCCTCCGTTTCCAAACAAAATAAAAATTTTTAATTAAATAAATTCAAGTTTCAATTTCATGTCTTTCTCTTTTCTTCTTTTTGTAGCTTAACCAATTGGATTAACCATTTTCCTCCCTTTCTAGACCAAATCCCAACCGGTCAATCCACTAATTAAGGTTTTTCTAAAAAGCAGCTAGCCTTAATTAATTAACCATGTGTGCATTCTGATGTATAATTATTAATACCATTAGTTCATTTGGGTGAAGCCTGAATGTTTAATACTTTATTAACAATGTGTTTTTATAGATTTTAACCAATGGTAAGTACAAGAGTCATATCCATCAAGTGATCCTGGACAACAACGAAGTGAGAAGAATCTCCATGGCTACACTTCATGGACCTTCATTGGACGCATTCATAGCACCAGGGCCAGGGTTTCTGGATGAGTCCCACCCACCAGCTTACCGAGGGATGACCTACAAAGAATCCTTGGAGTTCAATGGTTATGATGAAATCGATGTGCAGTCATCCCTTTCGCAGATTCGATTACCAGTACCCATCTAATTTCATCAGCACAATACATAAATGTTAAATATGGTGTTTATTGGGAGTTCATATTCTATTCTATGTGCTAATTGTGTTTCGACATATTGTAATTATCTAGTAATACTATAATAATAAATAATGAGTGTTGTGTGTATGAGTGATCATATATAGACAAAGATGCTCTTGCAAAAATGTTGAGTATTTGAAATTAAAAGATTTAATAAAAGTACTATTGGATTTGTAAAATTCCTAAGAAAAAAAATTGGAGTTCATGGATGAAGACTTAAAGTTTCCGACAACATATAGTGGTATGGTCATGAGGACCTCACCTAATCTTTCTTCTTTTTTTTTTGGTTTTTCTCATCTTCTTGTTTATTCTAAATCTGACTCGAGTAAATTCCAACATGGTTACAATGGCAATTTAACAAATTAAAGCACTGTTTTTTTGGTACAAGCGATATTAGATTATGCAATGAAAATGGTTTTAATAAGCGGTGTATTATGTCTATTGCGAAAAAAAGAAAATTATGCAATAAGAGGTTGCTTATTTCTATTTCATAAATTTTAATTACATATTTTGTTCTTTTCAAGATTTGAATTTAAGACTTTAAAAATATTTTTTTTAATTTTTAATACTGATTTGTCCAATTGGACACACAAATTAAACACATATTTATGAATTTGTAAAAATTATATAGATAGATATGCCATTTTATTCGGGATCATTTAAAATAATTTTGAATTTTGGTACTTAATTTCGAATTTTTAATTTTCAAATTAAAGTAATTTTAATTTGGCTTGTTTAAGTTTAAATTTTCCATTTGAGTTTTAAGTTAAGGCAATTCACTTTCGGATTTTTGAGGCTTTGGACTTGGTTTGTTCTGATCTTGAACTCTATCACCACCAAGTCCAAAGTCCGAAAATTTGTTCAGACCTTGAACTCTATCACAATCAAAATTAATGCTTACATAAACTTAGTCAACTAGCAAATAAAGGGCAGCATAAAGAAGTAAAACCAAAGCAATTAAAGAAATACTTTTTTTTCTTTTTTGGTTTTCGGTCCATAAATTTACTGGGTAAAGCTTAGTTTAGAGAGGGAAGGAAAGAAGCAAAGCTAAGGAGGCTATTTTGAGCGGGGGTGATAGCGGAGGAAGGCTGAAATTGTAACGATGAGCGCCGGCTCAAAAAGGAAGATATTTAATTAGGGGGTATTCCAGAGGGTAGAAAGACAGCTTGGTGTTTAGTATAGTGGAAAAAGGAAGAAGAGAAAAGAAAAGGAGAGAAGACTGGAGCTGGCTTGTCACAGATGGAAGGAAACAACTACTGAAAGTTGGAGAACAATTTTCTGCTTAAAGGGGAAGATGGTGGATGAAGTTTCAATTACAGAGAAGTTGAAGAATAAGGAAACGGGAAATTAGAGTTCATTTTTTAAACAAAGCTTCAGAAACTGCTTGCCCATTGGATAAGAAAGCTGACTTCGCCCTCAAAACTTGATCTGTGTGGAGCAGAAAAGAGGATACCGGTGTGGATATTAAGCACCAAAGCCATGACATGACCAGCTTCTTTGTGGCACTCCAGTCAGCCATCTTGGTCTCACTCATATTGGGGATCAGAGACAGAAGGACAGCGGGCTGATACATGTTGCTCCATAAACGCTTTCCTTCAATGACCGATGAAAGGCGCGTTAATGCCCATTTGCTTTCATAGACCCTACTCCCCTCGGCTTCGACCCAAAGTTGAATTAAGTATAAATGATTGGCTTGTTTGCGTAGAGCCGTTAACTCACCATTTGGAAGCTGAAAAACAATAAGGGGAATAAAGAAAACAAAGTAAAAATAAAAGAGATTTGATAAGCTAGATACAAACATGTTCCAACAATCAGTAAATTAACGTGATCCCATTCAACAATCAACAAGCTTTGGTATCTATTCTTACAATTTCTCTTTCTTATATGCTTTTTAGGTTTTTTTTTTTTTTAATTATCCGTTTATTTATTTCATCATTCATATTTTTAGAAAATATTATAACTATTTAAATATAAATATATGTAAATAATATATTAAAATTTTCAAATATGATAAATTAGTAAATTTAGTTGGCTAAATCTTCAAATTAGAATTAAATGTTTAAGTGGTTACTTAATTCAAGACTAAACATTTTAATTTGTACAAATAAAAATCTAACATTATCGACTTGTAACAATATAGGATTTTTTCAATGAAAACAAGGATGTGCATGTTACATGTCGTAATAATGCATAAAAAGAATAAAAGCCAGCTAATTAGACAAATTCCATGTTGATTTGGATTTTTTTTAATATTCATTAAAAAAATAATGAAATGAAAAGTTATTTAAAAAAAAACAAGTTTTATGCAAATAAAAAAAAGCAAAAAAAAAAAAAAAACCCCTAAACCCAGAGTAGATCATCGTTAACCCTAATTGTTGATTCATTTTCAATCAGTAATTCATTTTCAATCATTAATTTGTGTGAGGATAGTTTTTTTGTTAGTTGATTCTATTCAAACAATCATTCGATTCAATCATTTAGGGTTCAAGAGTTAATTCTATTTAGGGTTTGTCATAATATATAGATCATAGATTTATCACTAGATATAGATTTTAAAGAGTCGTTACTAATTTTTTTTGTCTAGTTATAATTATCTACTAGACTAAATATATCACATTTTAAAGAGAAGTCCCAAAACGTGATTTAGGTATCTTTAAATGGTAAATTCTAATTTATAACTAAATTTAGGTTCCAATTTTTTTTGTCTAGTTGTAATTATCTACTAGACTGAATATGTCTCATTTTAAAGAGAAGTCTCAAACTTGACTTAAGTATTTTTAAATGATAAATTTTAATTTATAAAACAAAAATTGAGGTTTGAGAGTATGATTACACATGAGGAAGGTTATATCATCCTCATAGCGTCCATCCTAAGGATGGTACTAATTTAATTTCAAGTTATCCCTTAAAGCATCTTTACAATTTGCCAAATTATTTAATTATCGAAAATTGATCCTAAAATTACTTAAATAGTTCGGTAGCAATTTAAAATAATTTTCTCATATCAAAATTATTCATGGAGATTAGTGTCCTACTTTAAAGAGTCTTCGTCATCGGATTCATTTAATTTTTTTATAATAAAAACTTTTATTTGTGATAGCAAGATTTAGAACCTTGGTATAAAAAATTCTTATCTAAATTCTCCAATATATTGGTAAAATTTAGAAAAGATTTCATTACCTAAGAATTTACATAAAAATTGCTATTCGCAACGCTCTTAGTAATTCCATCATTGGAGATTCAAAATCTAATTTTTTATAAAAACAATTTATTTTTAGAAATATTTTCTAATATATTGGTAAGATTTTCTCTCAAAAATTATCCTCCAATATATTTTTAGGATTTTATGAACATTTTTTTACAATATTTTATTATAAAATTCTCCAATAATTTGGTAGAATTCATAAAAAAATTTAAATCCATGAAAAATCCTCCAATAATTTGATAGGACTCATAAATTTATTTTTAAAACCCTTTTTTATTTTTTTTAAAAAATAAAAGTATCTTGCAAAATGAACTTTTTTTTCTTTCTCTTACCAAAATAATTCATTCAACAATTAAAAAAACATAATAATGAAAAAATAAAATAAAATAAGACTAAAGAAGAAAAACAAAATGAAAATCATAACAAAAAATAAAACAAAAAAAGAAAAGTAAATACCTACGATCAAGTTAGATTTAGCTAGGTCACAGCGCAAGTCATGCACGGGCTAGGATGCAGATCTTGACTTTGCAAAATGACATCGTATCACTTGAGTATAAAAGTTAAAAATTCACTTATTTTTCTCAAAACTTTGTTTCTGCTTCTCTCTCTAAGCCCAACACTCTCCAACTTCTCTCCAGAGTTCCTTGAAAAACTCAAGAACATGGCCAAAAATCCCAAATTTCGATGTCAAAAACTTTAACAGGTTGTCAAAAAATTTAAACTTTTTTAGAAAATTGGATGAACCTATAAAATGACCACCAACCAAACCTTCTAGCCACCATAAGCTTCACTTGAATATTCAAACTCTTACCAAAAAAATCAAACTAAAATCAAGAAAACCTAGAAAACTCCCAAAAACCCATAAAACTAAAAGTTTCTAGAAATTCCAACTAATTCAAAAAAAATCTAGAAATTCAAAGTTTCCCAGAAGCACAATATAAAATCAACTAGTAACTAGAATCAAAACTCAAAAATCAATTTCCTACAAAATCCCAAAGAATCCAAATTTCCCAAAACTATTCCCAACTTCCTAGAAAAATTCCCAACTCCCTAAAGTTTCCTAAAACTCCAAAAATCAATCCAGAATAACTTTCCTTAACCAAATTACAGAATTGAAACCCAAACCAAAAAAGTTGTTTAGTTTTTTTCTGCGTAATTGCTTTTTGTATTGCTTGCTGCCCCCTTTATGATTTCTATGTTTCCTCCCTTTTGTTCACTAATTCAAGGCCCTTTATACCGGTATTCATGCTTCATCAATTTGGAAAAAATCAATTCCATTAGATTCAAGATTCTATTTAATTTGATAAATTAATTTTCCTTGATTTGGTTTTGCATGAATTAAGCCCTAAGAAATTCATCAAACCATTAAATTCAGAATCGAATATGAGATCGAATCCCAAACAAAATCCCATATTTTTTTATTTTTGGATTTTTTTATTTTTGGTTTTTTTTTTTACTTTTTTGACTTTGAGCTTTTTTTTTTACCAAAATAAACCACAAAATTAAAATCAAAACAAAATTTTAAAAATATAAATTAAAATTAAAATTAAAATCAAAATCAAGATTGAAATTAAAATCAAATTACAACTCAAATTAAAAATTCTAAGCTTTTATCCTATTGGGCCCAAAGCTTCCTAAATGGGCCCACTTTACGATCGAAGACCATTTCAATTTTGAAAAAATTCTTGATCAAAATAGGATGTCTACAGCTGCCTCTCTTTATGCTTTTTCAATGAAACAAGAATTATACAAAAATCAAAAGACATCCATTTTGTTTAGATCCA